ATCCCAGAGCCATACTATCCATTTCTCATATCCAAAACTCATCACCATCCAATTCTCATCACAAGTATCCAGTTCTAGTTGTATTGATCGGGATACAACTCCAAGTGTCCGTTACCGTAGGACAGGCTATCGATAGATGTTTTCTTCCCTGCAGGGGTGCACCAATTTACCCACCACGCTTAATTAACTCCGGCCAGACACACTTTCCTGGGTCATGCCCGGCCTCGGCCAAACAATACGCCGCAACCCGACCTAGGCTTAATAGAGAGGTCAGCACGCCGGACTAAACCTATGCCCCCAGGGGTCCTGCGCCATTGCCCCGGGAACTCTTGCACGTTGCAAACGCGGCCGGTGAGCAGACCTAGCTACCTCCTTCAAAAAGGTAGGTGCTTACACAGTCCAACCCGACGCGCACTGCTCAATTGCTGACATCTATTAAGCTTTGGTTGATGCATACGACGCAGAACGCCCATACTATGCCCACGTGATGGTTAGTGATGTCAGGCCAGAGGCCGCTCGGGTCAAATATCCAAATCGTAGTGGATTAGGAGCACGCGGTAACAAGCAGAGACTCATGAAAGATGTGACCCCATTGCCCCGTCTCGAGGACTTGCGGCAAGGGCTAGGAATGCCCGGCCACGCCTCGTAAGTATCTCATAGGCACCTTCTAGGTCAACCCGTCTCCACATCACTCGTGGGTACCCCTCAGGGTCGACCCGCCTTTTCAAGTAACAGTTGTAAGGTCCAAGTATCTGTGTGTCCAAACATCAAGGGGAAAACCTGAGGAATCACCCCCGGTGAATTCAACTTGATGTAATCATCAAGGTGAACGTAAGAGGATCCACCCTCGAGGTCCACACTTGAGGGGTTGCACGACAGAGTCATATCGGAAGTGGTTAAAGAGGAAATCACCCTCGATGACCACGACCGAATAGCTACACTACAGTAGCAAAATCTAATGCAAGCATGAGAGAATGGAATGGGTGATATCGGGATGATCAAAAAGGGGGGCTTGCCTGGAAGCTCCGCTGAAACGGAAGAAGGGTCGTCGTCGACGTAGTCGATCACAGGGGCAACATCGATCTCGGGGTCTACCAGAGAGAAGAGGGGGAAGAAACAATAAATAGAAAGCAAACATAGCATCACAAAGCATAACGTGGCAATATGTTGTGCCGGGTGTGACCTAACGTATGGCTACACGATATAGGTGAAAGGGGCAAATCAACCGGGAATGTATTCCCGGTTCCGGACCTGTGTCACACAGATGACCGGAGGGGAATATTCCATGTTCAGATAGTTAGAAGCATCTGACAGGTATGTGGTTAGCGTACTCGGGTTCGTCTCGTCGTTTTGAGCAACTTTCATGTATAAAGTTTTTCCAACCGAGCTACGGTTTATTTTCTATGAATTTGCAAAGACTAAACCATTTTCTCGAATTATTTAAATTAACAGAAAAGGGATATGACGTCAGCACTGTGTCGGCATTCGGCTGACCTGCTGACTGGTCAAACTGACAGGTGGGGCCCACCTGTCAGCCTCTCTGGGTTAAATAGTGGGTTAAACTAATCTAACAGACTAATTAGAGGGGTGGGGGCCCGCTGGGCCCACTGGCAGTGACCCAGGGGGTGGCCCCAGGTGTGCCACGTTGGTAGTGGCCGGCAGCTCAACACCGGTGACGCCAAACGCGGCGGCGCGGCTTGGATCTCGCTGGAAAACGCGCTCCGGTCACCGTTTTGCGCGCGCGAGGTGGCGTTCAAAAGAGGGGAGCGAGGCACGTCGTGTGGCGCTAACGGTTGGCCTCGGGAAGGCCTAAAACGACGATGGCAAGCGACGAGGCGGACGCCGGAGTTCGGCCATCTCTGCCAACAGTGACAGAGAGCACGAGGAGACGACCTGGAGGCTTGGGCGGCACCAGGGAGGCGCCCCGAGCACATTGACGTGCTTGCCCGGCCTTGGCAACGACTGCAGCGACGACGAATAGCCGCATGGCGGAGCTCAGTGCGGCCATCCATGGCGATGGCGGTTATGGGTGCGAAAAAGAGCGGCAGAAGGAGGGAAGAGGAGTGGAGCTTACGGGGCAGGCACACGGAGGCCTCTCGGGGTTCGGGAGCGTAGAGGGAGGCTTGTGGCTCCGGTGATCGCTAGTGACCATCGATAAGGGGATGAGGGTGATGCCGATGTCACCGACCTCCCTGACTCCAGCTGATGGACGAGGACGGCGCACCTCCCAGGCTCAGTTGCCGGGCTCGGGGACGCCGTTAGCCATGGGGACGACGGAGAACGGCGGCGACCGCGCTCGGGCGTCGATGGGGAACGAGGGGGAGAACGAGGAGGGATCTGGTGGGGAGAGGGAAAGGCGGAGTGGGGCAAGTGGTGAGGTAGGTGGGGAAGGACTCGAGGAGACGGAGGGGGCGCTCTTATCCTCTCGCCGGGGGGCGTTGCCGGCGAGGTGGTTCAACGGCGACCGCGCCCGCGGTCGCTCGAACAGGAAGCCGACCGGGGGAGCGTGGGAGGCTGGGCTGGCCAGCTGGAGTGGGCCGAGGCACGGGCCAGGCACTGTGTACTTGGCCCACTGCACAGTGGCCTGTGCTCTTTCTCTTTTCTTTTATTTTTTTTAAGCATCGGTTTCAAATAGCTTAGGCCATTTAAACACTTTGAAAAAAATAGGTCCACCACAAATATTCATTATGGAATACTTGGCACAAGATGAACATTTTAGTTTTCAAGTTTGAGCATCTTGAATTTCACTCATAATTTGAAATTGAATTCCACCGGAATTTGAAAGAGAGAGGAGACAATGATGATCAAACACCTGTTTAGCAAAATGATTAACTTAACCCCAGGGATTACTGTAGCATCATTACACCGGGGTGTTACAGTATATAATGAGGCAGAGTAGTATTCATACGAGGAGGTTCCATCACACGTGCCTGAACCGGCGTCCCAGCCCCGGGCGTTGCAACCCGGTTTACCTCCAGCGGGTTACTGGTCCCTGCATCGGATGTACGGAAGAAGTTTCGAGGATCATAAACCGGAGGCAGGTGGGATTGAGTCTTCTGGTATCTTCTCCTCATGACCTCATTTGACGCGTTCTGATCCATCGTGAGCTGGAAAGCCTGCGACCGAATCCACTGAGCTTGAGCACCCAGAGCCGCCCGCTCTGCGGTCATCCTGACGTCTTCCGCCGCCAGGTCTTCCTTAGCTTGCACTATATCCTGCTTTAACAGCACCACCTCCGCATCATGTTGAGCTTGATCCGCCGGGTTGACCATGGCAGTTAATAGAGCTGTCATCTTATCCATTAAATCCATGAGAACCTGAGCCGGTGGGCGCACAGGGCCTCCTGCCCCGGCTGCCCCTGACCCTGAGGTTATCGTTGTCGCTGCCGTAGAGTTTTGAACGGGTTGCGTGCCAGCCATGAAGATCCCAACTCTGCTCGGCGGCTTGAAGAGGTCCGGAATACTGCTGCCATCGGAACAGCCCCCAAGCCCGTCGTCTTGCAGTTGATACAAGGAATCCGTCTCACCCATGAATGACTCACCATCAGAGTAGATGGCCGTCTCACCGCCAGACACAGATCCTTCAGAGAGTTCCCCTCCATGGATGCATCCCACGAAGGCACGCTTCACGACAGGCTGAGCCCGGGCGGGTGTCGCACGCTGAGCCGTCTCGACGATGCCGGTGCAGATGTCCGGCTTAGGGCCCGGCTCGCCGATCTTGCCGATGAAGACGTGGATTTCGCCGAAGGGACCCGGTACCCGTACTCAATTGAGCCGGCGTCGGGGCCCCAGCCTGCGTCGTGATGTAGAGCTTGCCGCGACGACTCTTGGTCATCCGGCCCACAGTGTATCCCTTGAGCCCTTCGAAGCTGCCCTTCAAGAACTCAAATCCACCGTGCGCTGGCCCCACGGTGGGCGCCAACTATCGTGGAATTGTCACATCAGATGTTCAAGTGAAAGGACTTAGTCGTGGAGCCATCGCAACTAGGAAGCTTAAAGGGGTTAATCGGGACAAATAACATGGGGTTTATACTGGTTCAGCCCCTTAGGGTGAAGGTAAAAGCCTACGATCCAGTTTTGAGTGAGATTGCTTATGTCTCGATTACCAGGGAGCGAATCCACTTGACCTAGTTCTCGATCTGATGTTACTCGCCCTAAACCGCCGCCGGATCGTCCCTTTATATACAGAGGTCGACGCCCAACAGCTCTCAGAGTCGCGGTCGGCTCATAAACAGTGTCCGGCTCGGTCTCTCTCTATTCCTGCCTTACAATACAAGTTACATACATATGGCGGTTTATCTCTACGGGCCTTAAGTCACCTTTAGGCTTTTGGGCCCTTAACTGAATCGCCATCTTCAAGTGTCGTCTTGGGCTTCATAATACGAGTCGTCATAGGTATAACCCGGCCCCTCCTGGGCGGGTCATACCTAATAGTTATATCCCCAACACTTAGTGTGTCAAACTACCGATTCAATTTCCTATTAACATGAACATATGCAGCTTCATAAGGCTAGTGAAATCAGAGATGAGTGACATGCTGAGTTACAAAAGAACGACGACCAAACATTCTAAACAGTTTACGAACCATATATCAATTCAACGGCTGCATGCAAAGCAAATTTGGCAGCGAGTGATGCACTATTAAGTGAATGTTGGTGCCACTTTACGTGGAGAAATGAACTATTAACATTATTACGTGGTTAGTGACAGCAGAAACGTCTGACAGAGACATTAAACCTCGTGTACGTGGTTACCAAACTGCCAAATTTGCATAGATTAATTAGCTGTCGGCAATTGATCCCGGCAAAAAATAAAAAGATCCTTTACCACGTTTAATTTGTATAGAGATCAATTAGCGGCCCGTAAGTGATGCGGCTGCCAGTATAAATAGGACAACCCACGGCCCGCATTTTCATCTCCCACTAGCACGTCTCTCTCTCTCACCACAGCACTTGTCTCCTTTTCTTGTTCGTTTGTGCTTGCCAAGAGGAAGGAGGAGAGATGGAGGCCAAGAAGTTGAGGGTGTGCGCCATTGCCGCCCTGTGCGTGCTCCTGCTTGTGCTGCCGGGGCAGGTCGCCGCCAAGTCCAAGTTCTGCGTGTGCTACGAGGACTGCTACCGTCAATGCAGGCACCACATCCTGCGATTCGCCTGCGTTCCGTTCTGCTCCAACAAGTGCAGCCCCAACCAGGCCGCCGCCGCCGCCGGCGGTGCCGGCGGTAACCGCGACCGGTGCAGGGCGGCGTGTGCCAAAGTCAAAATCTGCGGCCAGTCAGATCCGTCCGGTAAGAAGACGATGGAACCATCTCACTCTCCCTCTCGCATTTCATTAATTTGTTCAGCTTGTTTATTTCATTTTCATGAACACCGATTGAACCAATGTTCTTCTTATGGTTTTGCGATTTGCAGAGGACGAATGCGAGCGTGGCTGCCTCTAGGAGTTTGGTCTTAATAAAAGGGCTGGCCGACCATGATCGTTCATATGATGTTGAACGGACGTGATTGTAGCAGCAAACCGATAAAAGTGGCGTGCGTGTGTGACAGTGAACAAGAAATGTAGCCATAATTAGAACTTCCAAAATCTGAAGAGTTCTCCATTAAAAAAAACATTTTAACAGTTTGTCGATTGGTCCATCATACTCCATCCGTCTCAAATTACTCGTCGCGGAAATGGATGTATCTAGAACTAAAAAACATATAGATACATCCAGGAAAATATCCTGTGGAGCATAGGCTTAGGTGCACCCCCTTATCTAGCCATCCATCTTTGCATCGCGATTCGTGCAAGAGCTTTTCTCTTTTTTGTTTCTTCCAAATAAAACAACATATGAACTTAAAATTTTTGCAAGATAGCAAAACATTCTTACTACAATGAGAGAAAAACTTTCAGATTTTTTCGTCCATGATAACTATTAAAAATAACATTTTTTTAATAAAGAAAATCTCATTTTGTATATTAATATCCGTCAAAAAAATCTATAAGTTTTTCTCTCATTGTAGTAAAAATGTTTTGCTATTTTGCAAAGTTTGAAGTTCATATGTTGTTTTATTTAAAAGCAACAAAAAATAGAAATTTTTACGCAGTAAATTAGTTGTCTAGCACGGATCTCAAAGCTATATTGAAGGGTATAGATAGAGGGTGTCCATGAGACTATGCTCTAAAAATCCGCGTCCGATACATCCATACCTGCGACAAGTAATTTAGGACGGAGGGAGTATTATGTAGCACGGCTTTGATTGCACGTTGCAGCAGCAAATATAATATTATAAGCGGTTTTGTTTTGATTCTGCACATCACTTGTGTGGATGTTATCATGATACGTGTAAGCGTTTTGGTTTTGATTTGGTCTATGGAGATGCCAAGCAAATTTCATTTTTGTTTCCTGAGTTAAATCGTGAAAGAAGAAACGAATGCCCTATAGTAGAGCATACAAATTCTCATGCAGCAATCAGCAATGGCATGTATTTCTCCGTGTGAATTCCAAACACAAATGAAATTGTGATGAAAATAAAGAGATTCGACTGATCATTAATAAAGATGTTTTTTGTCTTAAAAACTGGACCAATGCACCTATAACCTTTTTATGTAGAAGATTAATTGCATGAAAGTTCTTCTAGCTTTATTCAGAGTTCATGTTTCTACTTATGAAACAGTGCAAATTCCTGGTCTCACGGTGCACATGGGTGTGTAAATTGTCAGAGCAACTGTAGCAACAGTCGTCATATTCACAGTCGCTATATTGCATGTGGAGGGCACGCCATATGATTTTGGAGGCTGCACAGACGGCGTGCATACTTGAGTCGCCATATCTCAACCTCCATAATTTTCTTAATAAGGAACTTATCCGTCACTACCTACATACTTATTCTCCAATTACTTAATTAGCTTCTACTTCCCTTCATCATCAACAGCCGGCGGTGATGAGGTCGACGCTGTCGGTCACGGATGCGGTGAGTGTGAGGACGACCACCAGGGCGAGGGTGAGCACGAACACAGACGGTGAGGGCGAGGACGATTCCGACAGTGGCGCTTTGGGCTGTTGGGTATACCGATTCTAGTGACAGCAACTCGATTTCGATGGCGGTAATGCTTGAAATCAGTGGATGTTCGAGACCGTCCCCCGCTCCCCCGATCTAGGGTTCCTCCCTTCCCCTGCCGCCGCCGGCCGCCGGCCACCGGCCGCCCCCGCCCCAGCCCCCCTCCCCGGGCCCCCTCTCTCCCTTCCCCCGGATCTGCTCCGCGCCGCCTCCCCGGGAGGTGGCCGGGGCGACGCGAGCCCTGCCCCCCCTTCGGCCGCCCTCGTCGCTCCTTCCCACTCTGTCACCGCCGATGGGCGCCCCGGCGCTTGCCAGGTGGTGTTGGCGGAGGCGGGGCTTGCCTATCCCCGCGCGCGCGGCTCACGCGGTGGTGGCGTGGCCCCTTGGCGGCGAGACGGCGTGGTAGCACTGGTTGGCCGGTGGCGCGCCCCCAGCCCAGATCGGGGCCCGCGGGCCCCATATGGGTCCTAGCGGGCCGGCCCCCGGCGTGGCTTCATCATCGTCTGTGTAGTGAGGTGGTGGAGCAGCTCGGATGGGGGGCAGCGGCGCCGATGGCATGCCAGCTGCGGCGCGGAGGCGGGAGTTGTCCGGGCCTCTGAGGGCCCGGCAGGGCCTGTGGGGCCATGAACCTGGTAGGCTCCCGCTTTGGCGTCCGGTCGGCTACCGTCGTGGACGGTGGAGGTGGGGCCCTCCAGTATGCTGACGGTGTTGCTGCCCTAGTCCCGGCTCCCTTCCTCATTGTGCAGGCCATCTTCGCGGTGCCGTGATGAGACAGCGTGGTAAGCTTCGTGTCCGTGTGCCCAGGGTGGTGGTCGGTTTGGTGGCGAGCTCCAGAGTGCCTGAGCTGGAGGATGGGATCGGGAGAAATCCATGTTGGCTTGGCCGATACCGACGCGGTGGCGCCTGAGGGTGCCATCGGACCTTCCTGGAGGGCGTCGGGGCTACCCTTCCTCTTTCCTCACCGCGTACCGGGGGAAACCCTTGGCAGCAGCGTCGTTATCGTCACGTCCCTTCTTGGAGGTGTTGATTGGTACCGGCGCTTCGGACTCTCCACTAGTAGAAAAAGGGGCAATGGTCCAGGCCAGGTCAGCCCATTAGTCCCGGTTTAGTCCAGAACCGGGACCAATGGTGGCATTAGACCCGGTTCGTGAGCCCCGGGGGCCGGCCGGGCCACGTGGGCCATTGGTCCCGGTTCGTCTGGACCTTTTGGTCCCGGTTGGTGGGACGAACCGGGACCAATGGGCCTCGCTCCTGGCCCACCACCATTAGTCTCGGTTGGCGGCTTTGAACCGGGACCAAAGGCAGCCATTAGTCCCGGTTCGTGCCACCAACCGGGACTAAAGGGTTGGTCCTTTGCGGTCAGAGTTTAGTCCCACCTCGCCAACCGAAGAGTGCTCACACCCGTTTATAAGCCCCTCCCTATCTGCCTTGTTGAGCTCCTCTCAAAGTGAAAATAGATGCCCTTATACAGGAAATTTGACCTAAATTCATATTGAATTTCTCTGAAGTTAGTAGAAATTTATTATGAATTTAGCTTGAATTCTCTCTATAAGCGCATCTATGCTCCTTTTTTAGTAAAGTTAATCACAACTATTTTTTCTTCTATTTATTTCTGAGTAGTTTTTATATAGTTTTTTTTCTTTTCTGCTATATTTATTTTTTTCTATTTTTTCTGAGTTGTAATAAGTCATTAAAAATAAAAAATAGGTGCAATGCTCGTTAATTAGCTTCAAGCCTTTCAGAATAGTGTAAACTGCACTGCACATAGCTCCGTGCAGTCTACCCTATTCCTCAAGGTCAAGGCTTAAAGCTAAGCAACATGCAGGTTAGCATTGAGCCTCTTCTGCATCGTCTCTGCACTCGGGGCTTATAAACCGCTGCGAGTGCCTCTCGCTTGGCGAGGTGGGACTAAAAAACAGTTGTAGAAAGAATCAACTAAAACACTCTTTTACCGGTTCATGCCACGAATCGGTACTAAAAGGTGCTCGTTGGGCACCAGCCTTAAAACATGTACCAAATAAAATGCCTTTGTAACAGCCTTAGAACTGGTACTGAAGGAATCAACTAAAAAGCTTTTATAAACCTCTAGTATTATTGAAACTAAAATTATATAGAATTTCGTTACAAACTTTAATAGCAAAAAGATTTATCATAAAAGAAAATAAATAAGTAATAAGAATTTTGTTCAAAACATTAAAAGCAAAAAGAATTATCATAAAAGAAAATAAATAAGTAATTAGAATTCTGTTCAAAATATTAAAAGCAAAAAAGAAAATTATCATAAAAGAAAATAAATAAGTAATTAGAATTTTGTTACAAACTTTAATAGCAAAAAGAATATCATAAAAGAAAATAAATAAGTAATTAGAATTCTGTTCAAAACATTAAAAACAAAAAGAATTATCATAAAAGAACATAAATAAGTAATTAGAATTTTGTTACAAACTTTAATAGCAAAAAGAATTATCATAAAAGAAAATAAATAAGTAATTAGACGGGTGCATTGGTACCGGTTGGTGGAAACTAATTATTCAAATTTGGAAACTAATGGAGTAACAGAAAGATTATAATTAATCTAAGCTAAAAGAAAAAAAGAAAAATCAAAAGAAAATAAATAATTCAAAGCAAAAAATAAAATAAGTAAAATAAAAAAGTGCCACCTAAAGGGCTACCACGGCCTGAATACGACTAGAAACCCAACAATGGGCCAGGATTCAGGCCCGCAATAGGCCCAATAGGCCCACATGCACGTATAGTGCGTTTAGGCCCGTAAGCCTGCATTTGAGAGGAGCTCGAGAGGGCAGCGGGACTGGAGCTTATAAACCACTCTCGAGCTCCCTCAGCTAGCGAGGTGGGACTAAACTTTCCTGCCACGACGCGGGCAGCACAGGGCCTTTAGTCCCGGTTGGTGGCACCAACCGGGACTAAAGTGGTGCATTGGTACCGGTTCGTGGCACCAACCGGTACCAATGCCCTCCCTTTAGTCCCGGTTGGTGCCTCCAACCGGGACCAAAGCCCTCTGCTTCCCGCCCTTTGTGGTGCTGAAAAGAGGCCTTTGGTCCCGGTTGGTGGCTCCAACCGGGACTAAAGGGTGCATTAGTCCCGGTTTGTGCCACGAACCGGGACCAATGCCTTTGCTATATAAGTAGCACTTAGGAAAATTTCAGAACCGCCCATCCTCACTTCAATCTCTTCTCCTGCTCTCCACCGACGGCAGTGAATCCATCCCCGGCCCGCGCCGCCCCGACGCCGTCTTCGCGCCGCCCCGACGCTGTCGCCGCCCCGCCCGCCCCGCACCGCACCTCGTCGTCGCCGTCGTCGTCGCCGTCGCCATGAGCAACTAATTTAATTTGATGTTAGTAGTAGTTAATTTAGATGTGTAGTTAATTTTGTTAGATTT